TTAACCTTTCCAACATGACAGGTAACCTAACCTTAACCTTTCCAACATGACAGGTAATCTGACCCTAGCCTTTCCAACATGACAGATAACCTGACCCTTCCACCTCAGCAGGTAACCTGACCTTAACCTATCCTACATGATTTTAAAAAAATTCTGCTCTCGGAGGAGTAAGACACTTTTTCCTTCTCTTCTGCCCTTCCCTATCTTATCTTATCTTCCCTGCTTTGCTGCTTGGAGCCTTCTCTAATTTTCAACTGAAACCAGAAATTATTATATTTTTATTTTTATGGAYTTGGTTAGCTGGTCTCTTAATAAATTTTTGGAACAAAGTTTTTTCTTCCATGGGAGGACAGGTCAAAGGTGGGACCTCTGTTCTGGGTATGTCTGGATTCTGATCACTGGGTTCTACAGATTGGCTTGGTGGTCTCCTGGTGGTCTACAAAACAGTGGCAGTGGCTTTTCATTTCCTGGCTGCCTGACGAATATGAAGGATTGCCGTTCTATCAGCACTCAGAATTGTGCCTTGAGCGAGCTGGACTCGATCTGCAAGCGGTTCTGCTGAGGGTTGCGGGCCGGCTGTGGTTCCTGGACTTTGCTGGCCAGATGGAATTGATCTTGGAGAAGCTGATAGATCGGCTTGGGGGGATTGTCCACATTATTTGTCTGATTGGATTCACCACATTGAGAGATACCAGCAGAMATGAAGGCAGATGGAAAATTGTTATTGTCTGACTGACCGAAAACATTTTCTATGTTCCCAAACAACTGATTCCCCCACACGTGACCTTGAAGGGCTGTGGATCTAATTTCTGCTAGATGTTTACATCGACTTGTGGCTTGGCCCCTACCTCTCCCTCCATCTGTAAYCTGATCCCTGAAAGACAACCTGGAGCTGCACAGAATGAACAATTCACATCAGTATTCTGAAAAATGCCTGGGCAGGTTTTTGGGGACTAGATTCTTCGGGTTCATTCTAAACTCACTTACTCCTCTGGCTAATAAATCTGCTCTGTGCAGAGGTTTTTTTATAAACACCATAGTGTGTCACGTTGATATAATATGTTTTGTTTTTCTCCTCATCTGTCCTTGTGTGGTTTTTAGTTTTTCTGTTAAGGGTAGCACCTCCTCATGGTGACTTCATGAAGATGATCCTTGCTCTGTGCAGGTCTGTGGCTGCATGACCCAGAGCACCTGTTCTCCCATGTTTGTTATGTTCTGTCTTCTTCTGAATGGTTGTTCTGAACTGTAATTTCATTGTGCTCTGTACAATGACAATAAAGGTCGATCTTACTTATCTTATCTAATGTATTGTTTATCTATTGTGTATTCAACGTCTTCTCTTTGTGTTTCTTGTTTCAGCTGCTGCTCATTTGATGACTACAACCTGACCACCGAGTGGCTGCTGAACCAGACGAATCACCGTCCAAAGGTGGCGGTGATCTGTGGCTCAGGACTTGGGCTGCTGGCTGATGGAGCCGTCAACAAACAGACGTTCAGATATCAGGACATCCCTAACTTCCCTGTGAGCACAGGTACGTTGTCTCAGACTGAGGACAGAGTGGTGTATCTTTTTAATACACTACTCAGATTTATGATTATTAGAATTATTACTCATTCTTAGTGTATAATTAAGTATTTACCTTAGAATGACTCCTAATTTCAATGCAAAAATCACCCAAAAATGATGTTTCAAATGATGAGGGAGTAGGGCTCAATGCAAGTTTTTAAAAGTTAATTTAATGCTTCAAAACCAGCTGACATTGCATAAAACTTTGAGTCGAGGCCGTCTGGACCCCGCGGTGACTCATCTAAACAAACTGCCTTCTCCTTCTTCATGGTTGACCAGTCCCTGCTGTCCACCATTTCCAGAACATCCTCCATGATGTCATCCCTGCTGCAGCTCTTGGGTCCCTCTCGGTGGCCTGATTTCATCCATTGTTTCACCTTTTCACCATCCTTCGTTTTTACAGAATTAAAGTCTAGGTCCAACTTGTGTAGTTTAAAAACAGGAGTAAGTTTTACAGGTATGTTTACAGGTGTGCTCATTACATTTTGACGGCTCAGTTTGTCAGATCTACTGCCACTGAAACATCTTGTTTCTGCGTTATATTCTTGGTTCAACCCACGATCAAACAACCCTTTAATGTCTTATTTAATTAAATGTCCAAGGTCTTAGCCATGATGTCAGAACATGGCTCCCTCCCATCAGGAGGGTGTCGGTGTTAGCCCCCCTGTTACACAGTTTAATGAGCTAATGCACCCCCTGCCTTCTGCTTTTCCTGTGCTACAGTCATATATAGTTTCATTCAGCCTGTATCACATGTTTACATCATATTTTACTAAATCAAGCTTCTAAGTCACACATTTTACTGATTATTACTTCTACTAGATAACCTCTGTTGATTAAATGAAGTCACACATCTCAGTGATTATTGCTGATTATGACATAAAATCACACATCTTATTGATTATGTCTACAAATGAGCTCATCTCCTGACTGCTCAGTACTGATGGCCTCTTTAGATTAAATGATTACACTTTGCCAACACAATCCCAGTACCACAGGAACTGTTGGTCCTTCGTTGTGTTGCTGGGTGTCACCGAGACGTTGGGCAGTTTAACTTCTTGTGTTTTAACCCTACATTACTTAACAATGATCTGATTGGTCAATGTTAAATTTAAATTTAACCCAAATCTAGAAGCAGTTTAAAGGAACAGAGTGCTTCAGTCCAGGGCATCAGATTATGGAATAATCTGGAAGATGACATTAAAAACACCAGATCAATGAGTAAATTTAAGAGAAGGATAAAGAATCATTTACTGGAGAAATATGTAAATATATAAACTGTTGTTCAAGGAGTTAAACCTTTGTATTTTTCTTTTTTTATAAACTAAAGGTTATTTTTGATTGAATTTATTTATTTGAGAAAAAGGGCAGATATAAGATTTTATCTTCTTCTACCTTTCATTTAATTTATGCTTTGTATTTTAGTTGAATTGATGTTATTTTTTAAAGAAATGAATAAACTAAGTGCACAGTGTGAATGTGTGTACCCACAGTGACAGTAAACTTGATCCTATAAAGTAAAAGTACGTTTCCATCATGTAGTTCCAGGTCATGAAGGCTGTTTGGTGTTTGGGACAGTTGAAGGCACTTCCTGTGTCTTCATGAAGGGTCACTTCCATCTCTGTGAAGGTTACTCGCTCTGTCAGGTGAGTCGTTTGCACCAATCAGGAGTGAGGATTCAGACAACAGTTCCTTCATTCAGGAACAGGTGAACGCTGTCAGGACGTCACGATGATCTTTAAAATGACTCAAACACATCCAGAAAACATTTAGTAATTAACTGTCTGTAAAACGTTACATCAAACCTGCAGATGAACATTTTTATTTCCAAATAAAGAAGTTGTTTCTGAGCTGAAGCTGTCTTCAGACACTCGTCTCACCTGAGCACCACTCTGCCCACCTGTATCAGGTGACCTTCCCTGTACGCATCTTCAAGCTGATGGGGGTTGAGTCTGTGCTGGTGACCAACGCCTCAGGGGGAATCTGTCCAGACTTCAAGGTTGGAGACATAATGATCATCAAAGACCACATCAACCTGCCCGGCTTTGCTGGACAGCACCCTCTGTGTGGACCCAACGATGAGCGGTGAGACGGACACACTGCAGGACCCTGGCTCTGAGATCAGGTCGACATGAAACATGAACCTGTTTGCAGGTTCGGGATCCGGTTCCCCTGCATGTCAGATGCTTACAGCAAAGATCTGAGGAGTCTGAGCCTGGAGGTGGGCTCAGAGCTCGGCTGCAGCCACTTCCTTCGAAGTGGAGTTTACTGCATGGTGAGTGGACCAAACTTTGAGACCATCGCTGAGGCCCGAATGCTGCGGACCCTGGGCTGCGACTCAGTGGGTAAGACCCAAACTCATGGTGTCAGGGTGAAGGTCTGCTCTTACACCCTGGTCCTTCTTCAGATACTTGTATCAGAATGATGCCATGTTTGAAAACACCACGAGCGGTCAGGTGATGATGTCACATGAGCCACGGCTCACTTACCTGAGTCTGTACACCTGTCTGATGGACAGAGTTCTGGTCTTTGTTCTGCAGGTATGAGCATGGTTCCTGAGGTGACTGTGGCCAAACACTGTGGACTCAGAGTTCTTGGGCTGACCCTCATCACCAACAAGGTCCCTGAAAACTGCCAAACACTCCTTCATGTCATCTGTGTGATGTGTTAACATGTTACCTGTTCATGTCACACCACAGGTGTCTCTGGACTACAGCCGTGAAGACAAGGTGAACCACGATGAGGTTCTGGAGATCTGCAAGATGAGGGCGGAGCTTCTGCAGAAACTTGTCACGACGCTGATTGGTCGCTGCCAGCAGCAGAGCATCAACAGGCACTGAGACAGGACTGAGTTTACCTGCGACCCACCTGAGGCCCCACCTGAGGTCCCACCTGAGGCCCACCTGAGACCCCACCTGAGGTCCCACCTGAGGTCCCACCTGAGGTCCCATCTGAGGTCCCACCTGAGGCCCCACCTGAGACCCCACCTGAGGTCCCACCTGAGGTCCCACCTGAGGTCCCATCTGAGGTCCCACCTGAGTCCCACCTGAGTCCCACCTGAGGTCCCACCTGAGGTCCCATCTGAGGTCCCACCTGAGTCCCACCTGAGGTCCCACCTGAGGCCCCACCTGAGACCCCACCTGAGGCCCCACCTGAGGCCCCACCTGAGGCCCCACCTGAGGCCCCACCTGAGGCCCCAGGGCCCTGAGTAGTCTAAACTGAAAATAAACTCTTCAGCACAGAGTGACTCGTTTATTATGAAACAATGTTTTCTGTTGTTCACTTCAGTAAGTCATCAATTCAAACTGTCTGATGTGTCTGTACACATCAGGAGGGGGCGGGGCCTCTGCACTCTCATTGGTTGCTGTGGTCCAACCGTAGGGGGCGGGGCCTCTGCACTCTCATTGGTTGCTGTGGTCCAACCGTAGGGGGCGGGGCCTCTGCACTCTCATTGGTTGCTGTGGTCCAACCGTGTTTTTAGGATCCTTTAGTGCTTCTGATCATGGTCTCCATCATCTTCCACTGATCCGGAGTCACCTGAAACACACGAGTTCATCAGAGATGAAACATGAAGAAGCAGCTGTGAGATCAGCAGGTCCAGCAGGTCCAGCAGGACCAGCAGGTCCAGCAGGTCCAGCAGGTCCAGCAGGTCAGGTCCACTCACCCTGCGCAGCTCGTTAAACTCTCCCGCCATCGACACAAACTCTCCTCCATCAAAGCGAACAACCTGAGGACAGAGACACAGTCAGCTCCACAGTGGCGTCTGCAGACATTTATTTCAGGGGGGCCGCGGGGGTTGAAAAGATTTGAAAACTATGGCCATATAAAGCTACAAATGTACCAACAGATGTTCAGTTTGTTATTTTACAGATAATATCAGTGATTGTGTGACGTCCAGAGAGCAGAAACAACAACAACAGTCTGGTTTCACTGTGTTGTGTATCGTTACACAAGGAGTGCCTGAAATGGTTTTTATTGTTCCATGTTTCAGTGACAGAAATAATCCTACCGTTGGGGGATTAGGATTAACTCTAACGGTTTGTTCAGGAATAGAAACACTGAGTGAAGTCATGTTTTGTGGTAAAAGTTGGGTTTAAATGAATTAAATTTTAAATGTGATGGGGACACTTCCCTTCTGTCATTTTATTAAAACAAGTCAAAATATACATTTTAAAAACATTTACAAGGAACAAGCTTCCTCATTTTAAACCTCTTATAAATTATAAATACCCCAATCTGGAAAAAAGACTGTATACAATTATACACAGTACTACATCTACTGTAGTATNAATAATATTGCTACTCCTCTGGCTTTAGAGTTAAATGACGAATGATAGATCTCTCCAACCCAAGAATATTTTAACTTCAAATGATTTGCATCCTGCAGGTGTGTTTCCTGTAGAAACACGATGTCTGGCTTTAGCCGTTTCAAATGTGAACATATTTTAGAACGCTTCACTGGACTATTGAGACCTTTAACATTCCAACAATAAACCTAACAGAAGAAAATGATGATGAAGACTTCAAAACACCGGACATGTGAGTTGTTTATAGCAGAGATTAAGACCATGCCACCCCCTAAAGGAGAGGAGAGGAGAAAGAAATGAAAGGGGAAGAAAAAAAAAACACTGACAGATAAACATATAACATATAAATCTTACCCACCCCCTATTTGCACACTGTCCTTCCCCAAATGAAGGAACGTGCAGACTCCTACAGGAGTCACCAGCAAACTTGTCCTTACAGCTAATCAGCAATAACAAAAGAAGAGAAAAAAAACTCGAGGTGACTCCCGCAGAACCAGTCAAATAATGTTAACAAGTAAATTTACAATAGGCACCTTTCTAGTCAGCCAAAGAGAAAAACACCAATAGTAAACATTTTGTTTGAATTTGTAAACAAAACAAAAAAAATCTTATTTCACTAATTCAAACCAAACTAAACATCATTTTTCCCCTCCTCCTTTTTCTTTTTAACTCCAAATTTTAGTGAACCGAGCAAATAGAACAGAGGGGAAAAAAATCAGCAGAACATAAAACAGAAATCCTTCTGCAAATAACTCTTACTTGGTAATAGACACAATGTAAGTTTTAGCCTCTTCTGGAGATGTAAAGTCCCGTGTAGCTCCATCATAGGTGATCCGTAACCGAGCCGGATGGAGCAGGCCGAACCGGACCCCCTCAATGCCTCGGAGCTGACGACGGCAGTCNTGACATTTATCAGGAATAAAGACTTGTGAGTTGTGGTGCATTTGTGTGTGGGGGGGTCATTGTGTTACTGCTATAAGGAACAGTTTCTACACTTTTCCCACAGTAAAATTCAAGCACTTTCAAGGTAAATTTTCAAACTTTTCCAGCACCAAATTTCAGAGCAGTCTTCATCACTTAGTCTTATTTCATTTAGTTTTATTACCATGAAACACACAGTACTCCCTGTCTGAAGGATACCTATCAGTAGTCTAAAGTACTCAGTAACTGAGCACAGTACTGCAGGTTGTAGTATTAATATGAAGTGAACACAGGGGCAGAAGAAGCCTTAAACTCATCACAGATTGTGGAATACTGGTAAACCACAGTGACCTTTAACATAAACCAGTAGCTAACAACGTTACAAATGTTTTTAATAAAAATGTTAGGAATACATCAGCTCAGTCCACACAGCCTGGATTCTACTGATCCTTTAAAATATCTTAAGACTTTCAGCTACAAACAGGTTTTTAGCTAGCTGTCAGAAGTTTGATTTGTTTAGATGTTTGTATTCTGCCCTGTTTGTACTTGTACTGTTGTATGAATGTGATGCTTTTAAAATTTGATCTTGCTTTTATTGTGAAGCACTTTGTGATTTTATCTCTATGAAAGGTGCTTTACAAATAAACTCTGCGTAGAACAAAATCGCCCTCACAGCGTCTCTGAGCATCAACGTGCACATTATGAAGGTTATGATTAAAAATACTTGAACATTAAAAACACATCATTGATAATACAGAAGAACTAGGCAAACAAAATCAACAATGTGTGAAAACTGTCATTTATATTTCATTTTTGATTATTAAATTACATTTTCTTTAAAGTATGGGTTTAAATATAAAAAAATAGCTCAATAAAATCCACAATGACCTAATTTTAATGCTATTATAAGGTACAGGCCTCAAAATATTTTATATTTATGATAAACTAAAACTGACTCATTCACTGTGAGGGTTTTTGGGAAAAAAAAGTCAAAAGTTAAACAAAGCTATACTTTTGCTACAGTTTTGTTCAAACTAGTATACAGTACCTCTTAATGTTCATATTATATAAGAATAATTATATATAATTCCAAGAACTAAAGCAACATAAACAGCCAATTTTACCATGACAGGCTGCAGACTAACCCTCTCTCTTCTCCTCCACTCCTCCTGTCTGCTCCTGTTTAGCTAACGTTAGCTAACGTTAGCATTCACCTGCACGGCTGTGAGTCGTCTGTCAGGTGGATGCTAACGTTAGCATTCACCTGCACGGCTGTGAGTCGTCTGTCAGGTGGATGCTAACGTTAGCATTCGCCTGCACGGCTGTGAGTCGTCTGTCAGGTGGATGCTAACGTTAGCATTCGCCTGCACGGCTGTGAGTCGTCTGTCAGGTGGATGCTAACGTTAGCATTCGCCTGCACGGCTGTGAGTCGTCTGTCAGGTGGATGCTAAC